CCTGCGCTGTGCGTGGTGCTGGCCACCCAACCACCCTCGTGTGCTGCGCAGGCTTTCGTCGGTGCTACTCGCTAACGGCACTTGTCCCAACAGTCTGTTAAGGGCTATATGGGGGGGGGGGGGATCTTTGTTTTTGTTCGAGCCGCGGCCACGCCGCCTCTCTTGTGTGGCGGGCAGGCCTTAACACGTACTCGCAAACAGCACTTGCCCCAACAGTCGGTGTAGGCCACACGGGGGACCTTTGTATTTATAAATATACACGCGTACTACCAATCATTACCCCTCTAGTAGTCTAGTATACGAAAGGAAATCGAAAGTAATCATTACAATCAGCCATGATCAACCCACTGCTGGAATGAAGGATTCCGCACGCCGTTATTTGTCGTGGGAGGTGTTGTTTGGCCATACTTCACTTTGCTGGTCAAGGGGGTGGGCCGGTGGGGGAGTGTTTCATCACCGGTTCTCACTATCTCTCCCCACTGATGGAAACTGAGGTCTATAACGCAGTCCGCTAACCGCTGCGCCACCGCTCCCTCCGTTCAACACGTAGGCGCATGGGATCTTTTTCGTGAATGTTTCCCCACCCACGGGGGTTGTCGCACTGCGTAATGCGATGCACCTCTCTTGACCGACGTTCGAGTCGCGGCTAACATCGGCTCGCGGGTGAAGTCTAAACCGGTGCCTGGGGTTTACCGTTACCCTTCGCCCACCTGCATCGAGCAGCCGTGGTGAAGTATGGTCAAACAACCCCTAGGAATGACACGGCGTCGGGAGAGGCCTTAATCCAGTAGTGTGTTGATGAAGGGCTTGACATTTGTGAAAAAAGAGCTTTATAGCTCATCGGATTCTTGCAGATTGAATGCATATTCTGCTTCTGAATGATTGCGCACTTTGTTTAATTATTTTAAATGTTGCGAAAATCCACAACTTTTCGGGACGTTTCACATTTTAATCTAGTACCCGGTTGCCAAGAGAATCTGCACGATTGTTAAGCGTGAAGGAATGAAATTATCCGTACGCGATAGTTGTATAGTTGTGCGTAATAAAGTAAAACAATGTAACGGAATGCTTCCTTGGTGGAGCGGCGAGCCCACTCGGCTTACAAGCCAGAGTTTGAATCTTGACTTTTAAAGCTTTCGTGACTGCAGGAATTAATATTCTTTGGGTCTTTTTTTCTTTGAACTAACCTCCGTGATTTTACCGATTTCTACCGAACTACCCAGAGAATATGAAAGCCAGAGAGTTCGCCTCCGTCTACCCACGGCGGTATGAATGGGCGTAACAAATAGAGAGTGGACACCTCCCACCTCGTCCAAGACATCTGGTGAGCGTGGCAAATTCGGCCAAGATACTGCAGCTCTAGAGACGCTCCCTGGAGTGCTCTCTCGTATGGAGGTCCGTCCATCAACAGTGTCATGAGCAAGCATCTGCAGGGCTGCACATTCATTTATACACCCTTGGATACCAACACATTAATACAAAAACTAGAAACTATTTATTTTACCAGGTAAGGCCCACTGAGCTATGTAGCTCTTTTTCAGATGTGACCTGGCTATCACAAATGACAGCTCAACGAAGTGGCTTATCACGTGGACATTTATAGCAGCCAAATACTCTAAAGGCACGTTTATAAATGAGGAGGAAAAACTGGAGAAAAATCATACGCTACCACGAGGAGAGAGAACAGGGTTGGGATCAAATCCACGACCTCCTGTTTACAAGACGAGGTAGTTAACATCTCCTAGCCACCGTGGCGCCCCACGGTGGCTAGGAGATGTTCGTGTGGATATACGAACCTGCGATGTGGATTATTTACATCGCAGGATGGTGGGGAGGCTCTCATCCAGCAGTGGATTGATCACGGCTGATAACGATGATGTGGAGTCACGGAGAATACCCATAACGCTGCCCACTAGAAAGAACCACTCGTCCGAGGCTCTATTAACCCTTATAACGGTTTGTTTTCACTTACTTAGATCGCGTCAATATAAATGTCTCATAAATCCATCACCACCCGACACAGCCAATTAGTAAGGTTTGTCACGTAAATAAAACGTGCCAATTATTTACGACTTCAGCACGCACCGGTGTGTTGGAGAGTACAGCCACAAAATGTACAATCTGAGTATGACTTTTCGCTAGTAATTACATCCGGCTTCATCAGGCGATTTGCCAGAATTGTGCCCAGTGAAGGTCCTCCATCACAAATGCGGCTGCTGCTGCGTCTCCTCCTCCCCGCCGCGCGAGTGTTTGCCGAGCAAACACGCCGGCGGACAGGTTGATAAGCCAACACTTGGCATTTTCCCCGCAGTGTCAGTTCTTCCACCAGGGAAAGTTGACACGTGTTACTGGCTGCCTCCACACCACACACCTCCCCCCCCGTAACTTCCTCCCAATCAACCGAATCTCCGACGAAAAGTTCAATACGTGCATAGTGACTTGTTTACACGGTGCCGAGGCACCTCCTTTTAACAGCTAAATTGTGCACACCACTGCTGGCGGAAGGTCCTCCGGCTAGAGGGACAGAGTTCTAGAGAAGCCCTCTCGAGGGGACAGTTGGTCAGCGCTACCACGCTGACCAACAGACATCTTAGAGAGGGAGTGGGAGTACTCAAATAAAATACACCCAACAACTCGTGACTTACCGACTCACTGGTATCACTGTTTACGCCGATGGACACATCAAACCGGCGATCTCTGGATTGTAAGTCCAGGCGTGGTCACTAATACTCCACCGCGGCAGCTTGTGGTACATAGCTAGACAAGGTGGTGGTGGTGTGGTGGTGCATCGCGCTGTGAACCCGGCGGGCAATCAGAGTTCGGTTTATATTGAGTATTTGCCTTCGATAAATGTCCACGCAATGACGAGCCACTTCGTTGAGCTATCATTTTGCGACAGCCAAGGTCGCTTTTGAAAAGAGCTACGCAGCTCAGTGGGGGGCGGGGGGGGGGCTTACACCTGGTTAAAATAATAAACATCTCTCGTTTATTGTTTAGGTTCCTGGCCACGGCCCAGATAAGTGGCGAGCGATATTCCAACGGGTTGTTTGGCCTCACCGTAGCCAACCCGTACCGACGTGAAGTATGGTCAACCAGCGCCGTCGGGGAGGTAGGCACATGCGGATACACGAAGCGTTTTTGCCCTCAGCCGCCCCTCATGAGGTTAATGGCAGGTCACCGAGGCACGCGTTGATTATTTAAACGTGCTTACCACGTGGAGGAGGAGGAGGGGGTGGGAGGGGGTGTGCAAATCGTCACACGGTTGTTTGCGGTCAGAGTTATTCTTTTACAAAAAATGCCCACGCTATCTCGGAGTCCCAAAAACCCGTGCGGTTAGGCACTTCCCATATTTACCAAGTTTCGGTTGATACGCTGAAACTAGATGGGAGGGTTGCTGGGGAATTGGGGGGGGGGCTCTGATGGGAGATGGGCGGGGGGGTTACTCGAGAGAGAGAGAAAGGGGGTTGGGGTTTGGGCCGGTGAGTGATGGTAATGTGAGAAATATCACCACAATTAAACCGTCTAGTCCCTCCCGCCACCCCTCCCCGACTGTCTCCCCTTCCTCTGATCTTCTCCCTCCGTGACAGATCCCACGGGATTAGTCTTCACCACCAACTCGCACCTTCGTAGAGCCTCTTCGTCGAAGCCATGGCCCCTGCAGAAGTGTAGTCGTTCACGCATACGACGAAGGAGGCGTCATCGCGGCCACTCCACGCTGCTACTCCTCAACCACCTCGATGCAAAAATTGTCGCTGATGCTCTCCGGCAATATCGGCCATACAAAATAAGTTAGTCACGATCATCGTCGTCATCGTCATCGTGATTATGATCACCGTCATCATCAACCCTCCCGCACCGCTCTTCTGCATGTTACCTTGTATGTGGCCATTCCGCAGGAATCTAGGACGCTAAGCAGAGCCTGGTTAGTATTCAGCACTACTCGGATTGGATACTGCCTGAAAGTTGGCAGGCATTTGTAGCCTTGAGTAGCGAGGCAGTCAGGCGACTGCAGTGCAACACATGATATTGAATCTATTTGGGCAGAGAATTGAGTGTTTATGCTGTTCTATAAGTGTTCTGGGTTTTCCCAGGGTAGTCCGGATTATTTCCCACTCCAAGCCAAACTCTCATTGAATGGAACTGGCCAACACATCTCAATTTAGCACAGGACCCTCCTGACATAAACAAAAAAAGTCCGGAAACTCCGTAAGACCTTTCTAAGGATCAAATATAGGCACGTGGCATGTGTTGAATATGTAAATGATGTTCCTGTGAAATCTGCAAACTATGCCACGAGTGAGTGAGTCAGGCCCAGATTTTGTGAGACTTGTGAGTCTGAGTAAGCGTTGATTTTATTATTATTATAACTATGGTTAGGCTATCAGGGTAGCAGCGGTTTGGTGGTTTATCTGTTGCGCTGCACTATGAACCCAGCCACCTGAGTTCAATTCCCAGCCGAGGTTGCCATCAGTGTCGCATGACATCTGAACCGATCCTACTCTCGCCCCCTTAAGCAACCCGCACCGACCAGCGTGGCGAAGTATGGTCAAAACAACCCCCACCACCGACGCAGCATAGCCAGCCATTCATCCAGCAGTGGATTAACAAAGGAGAGCGTAAATTATGGTCACGTGTTTTTTTTACACGTGCTCAACTTTGAGAATATTTCTCAACACTACATGGGCATGTCGACACGTGCGCGTGCGTGTTTGTCTTTGTGGTGTAGAGGCGTGCAAGCGCACCTAGCCTGTCACGAGAGCCTTGGACTTGGGAATGTGTGTGTCTATGTGTATATGTGTATATGTACGCGCGTGTGAGTGTGTCAGTCTGAAATGAGTACCTTGGGGGAGACAAAGGCGGCCGGCCACTCCCACCGCCCTCGAGCGCAATCGCCCGGGACTCAGCAGCCCTCGCCAACCGCGGCACTTGCCCCGACAGTCTAATAATGCAGTCCACCTGGGGGATCTTCGCCTCTGTCTTTGCGTGCGCGCCCCACGCAGGCGAAGGGCACAAGGTGCGGGAATTCCCCTACGAGGAGGAGCTGGACGAGCTGTGCCCGGTGTGCGGGGACAAAGTGTCGGGGTACCACTACGGCCTGCTCACCTGCGAGAGCTGCAAGGTGCGCCCACACACCTAGACACCTGTGTGGGTCTCTACAGGGCAGCCAGTCTACCTGTACACGCTGACACAGCACACCTACAGCCTGCACGATACACACCTGGACACCTGTGTGGGTCTCTACAGGGCAGCCAGTCTACCCGTACACACTGACACAGCACACCTACAGCCTGCACGACACACACCTGGACACCTGTGTGGGTCTCTACAGGGCAGCCCATCTACCTGTATACGCTGACACAGCACACCTACAGCCTGCACGACACACACCTGGATACCTGTGTGGGTCTCTACAGGGCAGCCCGTCTACCTGTATATGCTGATATTGCACACCTGTATTCTCTAGAACACACCAGTACCCACTGACATGCTTAGCTTTACAAGCCTCCACAACATATATATGTACACGCAACAGTTTATATGATACACCTGTAGGCCTGTGACAGTGTATATTGTGTGCCTGCGAGAGTCTCAATGATACGTCTGTACCACCTGTGTCAGTCTATGGTCTCTACAAACATACCTATGCACCAACAATGCAAACCCATAGCCTCTGTGAAACACCTGGAGCCATTGGCTAACTTATTCATCTCTCGACACACCTGTGCACTAGTGACAACAACAACACACATACACCCGGGTTTGCTTTACAACACATCTGTTCTTCTGTTAAGTTAACAAAACAATATGCACACATCCATATTGATATTATTTACTTTTTAAATGTGTAGAGTTTCTCGTAATAAAGAGTGTGGTATTTATATATATTTTGCACCCCTGGCATTTCTTCTAATAGAGGCCCACTGTCTCAACGTGCTGTGACCTGCAAAGGAAAGTTCACTCGCTGATTGATTTATTGATTGCGGAGATGCATTATCTCGCTTACCTATGTGTGTGCGTACGTACGTGTGCGTGTATGTGTAAGTGTGGGCAGTGGTGGCGTGTGGCTGATGGGTTCGTGCATGCGATGGGGAGTGGTAGTGTAGTGGTTAGCGCGTTGCCCTATAAACGTTTGTATGCATGTTGCATTCCTTTCGCACCAAGCGTAGCCAACCGTGCTAATCAGGGGTGCTACGAACCCGAGTTCGATTCGGCCAACACTAGTGCCGATTATCCGAACTGGTCCTGGGCCTCCCCGCGGTCGACTCAGCCTGAAATGAGTACCTGGTGCGGTGTAAACATCACCACTCGGGAGACAAAGGCGCCCGGGCGTGGTGTTGGCCACCCACCCCCGTCGTGTGCCGTGCCTGCCTTCAGAGGTGCTCGCTAACAGCACTTGCCCCAACAGTCCGTCCTTCTTTCGTATGGTCTGTTTAAAGTCTGTTCAGGCTATAACGGGTGAGCTTTGTCTTGTCGTCGTACACACGCACGCACGCGTGTGGCCACGCCTGCAGGGCTTCTTCAAGCGCACGGTGCAGAACAACAAGCGCTACACGTGCATCGAGAGCCAGAGCTGCCCCATCGACAAGACCCAGCGCAAGCGCTGCCCCTACTGCCGCTTCCAGAAGTGTCTCAGCGTGGGCATGAAGCTGGAAGGTGAGCACTGTCGCTCTATCTGGCTCAACTCGGGCGCTGTTGCTTTACACGCCCTGTATGTGAACATCGTTCGCAAGTTCATGCAGAGTGAAGGTTTATATAGTTCGGGTGAGATCGCGTAAATGTAAATGTGTCGTTCACCCGCCACCTCCACCCGACGCAGCCAATTGGTGATGTGTGCCGTGTGTACAAAACGTGGCGAATTAGTTACTACTTCGGCAGAGAGAGCAAACCCACAACATTTACAAGTTTATGATTAAAAAAATGAATGGATAGCGCGGTTTGCTGGACCACAGCTCCAAAAAGGCGTCAATGAAACGGCAAGTGGCCAGAAGCAAAGAGCACTGTGAAAGCGCGTAGCATAAAACAAGTGTTCCTTGACTTGAGCATGGTTATTATTTTGTATTATTATCGCTATATAAATCCTCGATAGAGTTAGAATAGAAAGTTGCCTGAAATAGACGATGGCGATGAGGAGGAAATTCCAAAATGGAGCAGTGTGGAATTAACAGTGCAGATAACAAGGGAGAGAGAGAGATAGATACAGGGAGAGACATTCCCAGGCTGTGGGAGCAGCATCAGGAGAAGGAGCAACCGAGGAGCAGTTAGTGCTGGGATCAGTGCCGGAAACTTCGGTTCAGCGTCGGCCATAGCGAGCTGTCTGAGAGCCATTCAGCCAGAGTGTGTCATCAGACATAAGGTAATGCTTTGGTTGGCATTATTACTAACCCCCTTTATACGTGTGTAAATACGGCTCGGTTTAAATACACACAAATATATAAATACAATCCATGGCACAAAAGCTTTGCCAATTATTCGCCTATACAAATGTGAGTTTTTCAGCGTCATTATTTGGAGTCTCCACGCCACCCCTTCCCCCCACATTCCCGCTCGCGGTCAGTTAATATCGGCTCCTAACAAGCAAACAAAAAAAAACCCCTACAGTTTTGTGAAGCTGCGTTAATGCAGAGACACTCCTTTCTGTCCGGCCGTTAATTAATTTAGCGTGAGTGCCTGATTGTGCCGGGACCTACCTCGACACGGCGATGATGAAGCTGTGCCCCCCCCCCCACTGCACAGACGCCCCTCTCCGCCCCCTAACACCGCGCTCCGCCGCTTTGTGTGTGCCGAGTGTGCGCGTTGCACGAAAGCACTCGGCGCCACGACCTCCGCGTGCTATTCACCGATTGCCGAGACCACGTGTAGCACAGAGACAAAGATCCCCCGTGTAGCGTGAACAGACTGTTGGGGCAAGTGCTATTAGCAATTAGCGCCTATGAAGTCCCGCACGGCACAAACTATTGGGCCAAGTGATGTTAGCTAGCACGGCACACGCGGGGTTGGGTGGCCAACACCACGCCCGACCGCCTTTGTCTCCCCATTGGTGATGTTTACACACTTCACCAGGTACTCATTTGAGGCTGAGTGGACATAGGGGAGGCCCATGACCGGTTCAGATAATCGTCACTGGTGTTGATGGCTGTGAGCGGGAATCAAACTCAGGTCGCCGGGTTTGTAGTGCATTGCGATAACTGCTACACTACTGCTCCCAACATGCATGCAGGCACACACAGACACGCACATAGGCTCTCGCACACACGTCATGCAGCCTAAACAAAATGCTCTCTCTTGCAGCACGTAGGAATTCGTTTTCATAATTTGTTAAATGTTCCAGATATGCTGAGGTCTGTTTCCAAAGCACATGTATGGAGAACAATCATATATATTAAACAAAAATATTGTTATTATTATTAAGGCAGTGCATCCGCGAGGACAAATAACACATTCTCTGGATTATATATATATTTTGCTGTATTGCAAAGAAAAGGTTGCGGGTGAGTCTCATTGTTTGGTAGGTGTGAGTGCGTGTGAGTGTGTGTGAGTGTTAGTGTGTGCGCATGTTACTGCACGTATGTGTACCTGTGTGCGCGCGTGTGTGTACTTGCGACGTAGATTTGCTAACTTTATTGACGCCGGGCACACGCTTGGGGAGCATTTAACATTCCGGAGCGTTTTATAATCCTGAGAATATGGTAACATGATCAAACCCACCGAATTATCATAGAATTAGGAAAATACATAGGCTGACGTTGTGGGAAATGACCCATTGTCAGAAAATATGACAGGATCATTGACCGACATGCAGTTGGAGATTGCACTGCACATAGTGGGGCCCTTGGATGCAGTTGACAAATTGTCAATATTGACAATTTGTCAACTGCATTTCTTTTAAAATAACACACAAACATATTTCCATTTGTCGACACTGAATAGCAAACAATCCATTCACATTTATTTTACATTTTTACACGTAGGTTTTCACGACCAACATTATGTATCATTCATGTTTTTTTTTAATTTGGGAGTAGGTTTTGCAAAACTTTGTCCTAAACCTTCCGCCACCCGGCCCAGCCGAACAAATGAAGTTGTCACATGATGGGCAAAAATATGCCAATACATTTGGAGGAATTTTAAGAAGTGCAAGCAAAGGCTTTTTGTCAATTCCATGCGTAGACATTTCACCGGCGATTACACCGAGCAACAGCAGCAGCAGCATCATCATCATCAGCTGTTGCCAGCAGCTCAGCTCTCGCCAGATTGGCTCCGTCGGGCAGCGGAGGCTATCGCTAAAAAAAGTCGCCATCCGTACTTCTGCCACGATCAAACCCAAAACAAAACCAATCGCGAGCCTAACCACCCGCGCTGCGAAGCCGCCCAGCGAGCGTGGCGCGGCCACAGCAAGGGAAGCGAATGCCGCCGGTTGGTGAAGTTTTCAGCGCGCGAGGTCCCTGGCTGGGAGGGCGCCGCGGGTCGCGCTCGATGGTTCTTCGCCCGGAGGTCCCTGGCTGGGAGGGCGCCGCGGGTCGCGCTCGATGGTTCTTCGCCCGGAGGTCCCTGGCTGGGAGGGCGCCGCGGGTCGCGCTCGATGGTTCTTCGCCCGGAGGGTCTCTGGCTGGGAGGGCGCCGCGGGTCGCGCTCGATGGTTCTTCGCCCGGAGGGTCTCTGGCTGGGAGGGCGCCGCGGGTCGCGCTCGATGGTTCCTCGCCCGGAGGGTCTCTGGCTGGGAGGGCGCCGCGGGTCGCGCTCGATGGTTCTTCGCCCGGAGGGTCTCTGGCTGGGAGGGCGCCGCGGGTCGCGCTCGATGGTTCTTCGCCCGGAGGGTCTCTGGCTGGGAGGGCGCCGCGGGTCGCGCTCGATGGTTCTTCGCCCGGAGGGTCTCCGTGACGGCTGCCGACCCGGCACCTGCGAGCAGCTGAACATCGTAGAGACGGACGCTTCGGGCCAAATAAATTCTTGCCACCCCCTCCCCCGGCCTGCATCCAACCTTCTCCCCCCGTCCCCTCCCTCCCCCCCCCCGCCCCACCCCCCCGGGGGGCCATAGGATGAGCACATTCGAAAGAGGCCCAATTCCCACGAACCGCGCGGCGCAGCGCGGGAGCCAACGTTTCGTGGTAATAGCGGGGGCCAAGATGAACGATTTAGGATTGAGTGTGGTGGGCGGAGGGGATGGGGGATTGCGGTTGAACGGAGTTGTGCGACGTGAAGCAGCGTTTCATATCTGCCTCCGCTGTGCTTTTGCATCTGCGTTCGTCATTATCGCGGCGCAACACAAGTTTGTCGAGTTTATTTCGCATTGAAACCCGCGAGAACAACATTCTTCTTTTTTCTCGGTTGCAACGCGCACGCACGCAGCCACCCTCTGGGAGTCCATGCAGATGGAGTGTGCATGTGCGTTGTAACGGCGTAGATATGCGGCCCCAGAGCAACCATAAAAATGCGTTGCAGCTCCAGGCCCCCCCCCCCAACCGTGTATGTCACATGAGAGCGTTTGCGTTACATCGCACGCATCGCGTTCAAAATCGGTTTAAATCTAATGGATTCCCGCCACGCGCCACGCGGCTGAAACCAATCGATCATCGCCCCCCCCCCGCCCTCTCCCCATCACAACGGCGTCGACGCTCACGGTGGGCCTATTTGTTGTCGTCGCCACCGTGTCCCTCTCTGTTCCCGCCAGCCGTGCGAGCCGACCGCATGCGCGGCGGGAGGAACAAGTTCGGCCCCATGTACAAGCGCGACCGGGCCCTCAAGCAGCAGAAGAAGGCGATCATCCGTGCCACGAGCGGCCCTGGCATCCTCAAGATGGAGACGTCGCCGGAGCAGGCCAACCACCACCTACCGCCGCTACACCACCACCAGAACCACAACCACCACCAGCAGCACCACCACCAACACCACCACCACCAGCAGCAACAACAGCAGCAGCACCACCACAACCACCACCAGCACCACCACCACCAGCACGATGACTTTGAGCAGTCGGCGAGCGTGACGCCGCTGTCGTACGGCCACGGCTCGGCGCGGTGCGGCTACGCTTTCCCGGCGGTGGCGGCGGCGCCCCCGTCGGCCGGCCCGCAGTCGGAGTTCGAGCACCGGGGTCAGTTCGCGGCGTCGCCGGGCGGCGTGCCGCTGCCGTGCTCCTATCCCGCGGCGTACGCCAGCCGTGGCATCAAGTCGGAGCACGGCGATCCGTACGCCGACGGCTCGCCGGACGCGTACCTGTCGTCGGGCGTGCCCGGCTACTCGCCGATAGAGCGCCACGCCGACCCGTACGGCGTCCACGACCACGCCGCCGACTCGCCCGTCTACCCGGTCCTGCGCGTCTCGCCGGGCTGCGCCGGGCTGGCCGCGTCGCCCGCCTACCCGGGCGCCACGGTGTCGCCGTCCTACCCCGGCGTCGGCGCTTCCCCCGGCTACCCGAGCGCAGCGGGGAGCGGCGCTTCGCCGCTGCTGGCGCCGCTGCCGGCGCCGCAGCGGGCGCCGGCGCCGGACGCCGCGGTGCCGCGGCTGCTCGCCGAGCTGATGCGGTGCGAGCCAGACGAGGAGACGACGCGGGCGCGCGTCACGGCGCAGCTGCAGCAGGACGAGTGGGGAGTCGGCGGGGCTGGCGGAGGAGTCGCGGGTTTGGGGCCTGGCGCCGGCTGTCTCAACGCCTTCGGCGGGGCGGGCGCCGTCGGCCGGGCGCGGCACGCGGGAGGCGCGGGAGGCGCGGCGTTGGCGTCGCACCACCACCACCACCACCTGCCCCGCGCCGACCACCCCTCGGCGTTCGCCCTCATGTGCAAGATGGCCGACCAGACGCTGTTCACGCTGGTCGAGTGGGCGAGGAGCAGCGTCTTCTTCCGCGAGTTGAAGGTGCGTGGGTTAAAAACGCGGAGAGGGAAATCACGCGCGTGGACACGCGCGCGGATCGCGTAGCTCGTCCCGCGCTACAGCGCGTTCAAACGCTGCGGTCGGACTCCACGAGGAATCGAATTCGCGGCACGGAAGCCATCGATGCAAAACATGCTTGCAAATTGTGCCTTTTTATGCTTCGGTTCGTGTGTCTCCGTTTTGGGGTACGAACCTTCGATCGATCTGTCCGATTTTCAGTCCCCGATAGCAATGCAACTGCACCCCGGAAGTAAAATTCACGGTGGAACATTACGGACGGACGCGACGCGTAGACGCTCGCAACCTCAGTTGGCGTGCGTTAAAAAATCCGCCCGTGTGCCCCCTGTTCGCTTTTCGTGCACTTCGTGCGGGGTTGCGTAGGCCTTGTTTGAAACATTCATAGTCGCTCGGACGCTTAAAAATACAAAGGTTACTTAGAGAGAGGATGTTTTGCGTGGCCACGTGTCTCTAAAGAGTGGTTGCAGAGTTTTTTCCACGGTAAAAGTTCATAACCGGGGCAAGGGGGGGGTGCTGGGGGCGGGGGGGGGGCTTGACACTCTTTCTCGGACTCGAGCAGAGGTTGGTCGTTGTGTTTTTTTACATCCAAGGCCCACTGAGCAATATATCTCTTTGTCAGAAGCGACATGGGCATCACTAATGATTGCGTCAACGATGCGGCCTATCATCGCGTGGACATTATTAGCAGCCAATCACCTCTGAACGCGGGATGTCGATTCTAAAGGTGGAGGTAACAAACCGGAGGAGCCGGAGAAAAATCCACTCGAGCATTGAAACAGGCCTCAAGAGATCAGGGCCTCGTTCTGCCGCTACGGAGTTGGCCCTGTGCGCGGGCGTCGCCACCTTTGTCTTTTGTTAGCCACCTTTGTGTTTAATGCGCCGACGAGAGAAATACGCGTGCGTTTTGCGTGTTGCGTGTACGTGGGGCGGAGCAGCGGCGTGGCGGTTCACCACGCCGCTTTGTGGAAACCGTCGACCCCCGAGTTCAATTCCCGCCCATGGGTCCCGTCGGTGCCGGGTGCGATCCGGACCGGTCCTGGGTCACTTCCCCCGTGGTGAAGTATGGTCAAACGACGGAGCGTAGTTGCCGTGTGTCCTGGTGCAAGCGGTGAAACAGAGCCCCCTGTCAAATGTAGCCCGGTGGACCAGCCCCCCCCCCCTTCCCCATTGCCTCCCGGTGCAGTTGCACCGCCTGCGCACTCGCTAGCTAGGCCACCGAGGACGCGGCGTATTGGAGACATTCATCCAGCAGTGAATTTACAAAGAACTAAATATTACTTATCATGTGTGTGTGTGTGATATATATAAATAGTGTGCGTGGATTGCATCTGTACGCACAGACTTGCGTGCGTCTGTGTGCCCCGCGTATATAAAACATTGGACGGAATCATCGCGAATTATCCCCATGGAGTAGACGTCTCGAAAAAAAAGATTCCCAGCGCTCCACGAAACTTAAAAAGATAAAACTTTATCACGCGCATTAATGGGATAAGCAGATATCGCGAGCGTTTGCTTTTTTTTTGACGAGGCGGAGGCGAGTTACCATCTGCGAGCCCCCTACCCCCCGCCGCCCTCCGCTCGAGCCGCGCCTTCCCGCGCGCAGTGTGAATTGTTCACGAAATCTGCCTCTGGAGGCGCGGCGTTAAGAGGCGCTGGGAAACTCAGCTGCGATCGGCCGCTGGTGCTCGGAGAGCCATGGGGCTCCGCGGCATGGGAAGCAACGGGGGGGGGGGGGGGGGTTGGGGGGGGGTCACCGCCTGCGCTGGTGCGCAATGTGCTCCGGCAGACCCCAACGCACGTTTGCGATTTCTACCAAAAAAAAAACTTAATCTGCGGAAAAAGAGTTGCGACATCACTCCAGGGCGTGCGGGGTAGGGGTGGGTGGGGGGCGAACGATCGGATACCGCTCGTGTCTCTTTACCTGCAGCCAGACGCTAAAAGGGCCCCCCCCCCACCCCCTCCGACCTGAGACACTCTGCTCTCCAGACTCCAAAGTTCGCACCTGGGCGGATGTTCGCCGTGCGAACGGAACGGGCATTGCGCGAGGGATGAAAGTTGCTCGCCCGGGAGCGTCTCGCTCCTCTGCACCTGTTGGTAAACGCCGCTGCCGATTCGAGCTCCGTTTCTCAGTTGCAGCTCGGAAGGGCGCGAGTTGCTTAACCGCTGTGTAGGTTTTCTCGGAGCTCGACGTCCGACGTTTCGCAAACCACCTGCTGGGAAACTAACTTCTTCAAGGAACATTTCAGAGCGAAGCGTCGGACGTCGTTCGGGTAAACAAAAATAATCCCTCCGCGGCACTCAACTCGAAAGAACACAACGGAGAGAGCTACGGTTGTTCACATTTTAAACGCACATCTCCTCCGGCAGCTGTGCGGAGTCAGTTGTTACACAGGTAGATCGATCAGCAGTGGTGGTGGTTCATCGCTGGTGGTTTTGTAGATAACGGGGGGGGGGAGTGGGGCGGGGGCGGGGGTGGAATCGACTTCACAGTGAATTAGTAAATTTGACCGCACACAGAGAAGTCACGTCAGCGTTTCAGGGTTCGGCTACTGCGTCACGCTGAAGACGTGTGAGCGTGCCGCACGCGGCCGCGTTTGTGTGAGTACAGCACTTGTGTGTGTGTGTACGAGATTTGGGGTTTGCATTGCGCAATGACTCTGATTGTGACCGGGAGCAATCCGGATAGCCGCCAGCTTCCTCTACCCGGGGGGGGGGGGGGAGGATATGGGTGGTGGGGGGGGGGGGTTGGTGGTTTTTTTTCTGTCTGGTTTGGAATAATTTCTGCGAAATAACGGGATGGTAACCGTAATTAATTCCAATTCCATGAGCACGCTGCGCCACCGGTGTCTCCTGGGGATCATCGCGGCGATTCGGCTTCGTGGTTCGTCTCGAAGTCCGCCCGGACGCCGTGACATCGCCTCGCCGCCCGCGTGTTTGCATCTGTGTGTGTCTGTGTGGGGGGCGGTAGCGGTGGTGTCGCGGTTCACGCTACGTTGAACTACGAACCCGGCAACCCGAGTTCGATTGCCGCTCACGGCCAACACCGGTGGCGATCGTCTGAATCGGTCCTGAGCCACCCCTAGGTCGACTCAGCCTCAAATGAGTACCTGGTGCGGTGTGTAAAACACATCGCCACTTGGGAGACAACAGCGGTCGGGCGTGGTGCTGGCCACCCACCCCCTAGTGTGCCGTATCGGCCTTCGTAGGTGCGACTCGCTAACAGCAATTGACCCAATAGTCTGTTAAGGCTACACGGGGGAACTTTGTCTTTGCACCGCAGCGTTAACGATAAACATCCGATGGCGCCCAGAGCTGTGGCGAGTGCTACAACTCTCGTGGGGGTATATTCTGCGGCTCCCCGACCTCCATTTCCCCAAACTCCCTCCCCTTCTCCACTCTCTTCTCCCCAGTGGGGGAGGCGGCGGGGGGGGTGGGGCGGGAAATATTTTCTCTCTGGAGCTCGGACCTGGACAGCTCCTGGCTGATATTAAGTCCCTGGTCACTGCGCACCGACGGACCGACCCACTGGTACAGGGGGGTAGGCGGCAAAAGTGAACAACAAGAGCAATTTCTTTCGATTTCGGTAAAAAAAACACAAAACCCTTCAATATTGCAAGAGCCACAATGATGCACGTGGGTGAATGCGAGACTGGCGGTCCTTGATAAATAACCTTCACGAAGCAGTGGTCCTTACGGAGCCGGGGCGCGGCTCCGGAGCCGCGGGTTTGCCGATCCCCTGGCGCTAGTAGCACTGGGGCGTCGGGGCAAGAATGTGCGTTTGAGATAACCGGCGCGAGATTAGGTGCGGGCCAATTTCGTTTTTTTTATTTCACGCACGCACGCAGGCACTTGCGTTTGCATGCGCGCGCGTGCTCAGCGATGTTTGTTTGCTAAATTTCCGCTTCACAAGCGGCGGGCGTCGTACGAGCGTTTCGCCTGCAGCCTTGACGCATTTTGCGGGAACTTCACGGCACCGCCCGTTGTGCGCGATCGTCCACAACGCAGGCGAGCGAGCGACCGAGCGAGGGTGGCGGTTCGAGATTTGAGGGGGCGGAGGCCTGCGCCGTTTCATTCGTCGCCTCTGGCACGGTGAGCCCGTCGGGAAATCTCACCGCGCGGGAATCTTTCTCGCACCTCCTCGTGCGAGCTGTCGCTACGATGCAGACGATGATGACGACGACGACGACGATGCGTGCCGGTTGCAATTGAAGAGGGTTGTGCCGCTTGCTTCCGGCGGGGCTCGGAGAGCCACTCGGAGCTCGCACTAGAGGGGAGTCGGAACGATTTTGTGCGGCAAGAGGAGGAAAGCGACAGCGGCGGAAAAAAAAGAGAGAATTTCACACGCTGCGGGGTCCCTCTTCATGGCTGTTTACTCGAAGCGTGGGGAAGTTCAACCTCCTCCCCCCCCCTCCACGTGCCCCCTGCCCGATGATTCGAATCACTCGAGCACGATTCAGGATCGCGACGCCATTCAAGAGGAATCGTCCCCTTTTCACATCTATTCCATCTGTTCTGTCTAATTTTATTTTACCACTGAGCCATACGGCTCTTTTGCAGGAGCGACCTGGCTATCACAGATGATAGCTCGACGGAAGTGGCTTATCACGTGGAAATTTAGAGCGCCCAAATACTCTAAACGCGCGTTGATTCTAAATGTGGAAGGGAAAAAACTGGATTCACATGCCATCACGGGGAGAGACACGCAAACTCCAAATATACAGGCGTCAGTGTCGGGATTGGACCCACGCTTTCCTGCATACCAGGTTAAAATCTCGCCACTGCGGCACCCATCATTGTGGTGAACGAAACTGGTCGCTGGCTGCAGGAGGTCACATGAACCCACAGCATGCAACTTATATATAAACAATTATACATTTCTTACGTATTTAACGGCATTGTGATCCTGAGCTTCATAAGAAATGTCGACTTCACGCACTGTGGCACCTCTTATTAATGGCATTTAC